GACAGCTTAATTTCGGTTTAACGGGTCTATCATGAGATTGCATCCTCCTCTTAAACCGGGCTCCGTCTATAGTAGAACAAAGGATGTCTGAAACCCGTCATTCCACTTCCGCTTCAATGAGATTGCTCACTTTGAACACGTTTGGTGGCTTTTTCACCTCGAATCCATGTCTCATAAAATACAAACACGATGCCCGTAAGTAGTCTCAACCACGCTGAATATGATACATTAGTCGAGGCCACAATCCATTATTTATCTTGAGCTGGACTCCATCTATACTAGCTACAGTAGCGCAGAACCAGTCTCGCTCGCCTCGTGCACGTTGGGTGGCTTTTCACCTCGAATCAAGGTCTAATAAAATACAAACACGATGCTCTTAGGTAGTCTAGACCCCGCTGATCACGATGCATGCGCCGATGGACACTGAAAACATGTTTAGAAGCCACAATCGGCTAATTTAGAATCGGATTACATAAGCTAGCAAAGCGTATGAGCTATATATAGCTTGAATGCACCGTCCCTGACAGATTGAGACTGCCGTCTGAAGGGAATGAAAAGTATAGACAATAGCGGTACGGGACCAGGCCCTACCCAAGGGCTCAATTTTTATAAATTGAGCCCTTGGGAGGGGCCTGGTCCCGCACCGCCATTGTCTATACTACTTCTGAGGTGCATGCAAAATTTCGCGAAAATCGGTTGGATAGTTTAGGAGATACTGACTTTTGAGCGAGCGTGGGTTTTTGGTCGCAGTAACATATCATAGCACACAAACCATTAGAATTATTCAGCAGTTGGTGATCTGTGTCGCAAGGTACGATCATCAACTCCTCTCTGACGAATGCTCTCGGTGGCTCGTCTTTCAAGTGATACAAGTTCGCTTCGGCGTCTTTGATGTCGACCAGGTCTATAGTTTGGCATGAAATGCATGTGGACCCGTTTTTTTGTAAATATCTCTTCATCCAATGACCCAATCGATCTCAAACTGTGCAAGTGGATGTTTTGTCAGACAACCTAATCACATTGTAAATCACCGATTTTATGCATTTGTATTAAAGAATCTGTCTATGTAACTGTCAACAAAATAAACAGCAGAACGCAGAATGCTTGCAGAGGGAGGGAGCCAATGACCTGTAACAGCGGCAGTGTTGGGTCTTAAGGTCAATGCAAGTGCAGTTCATGATAGTTACCTGTTTGGATCATTCACATTGACTACTTCTAGCTGTCATCATGAAAGCCTATTCAGATGATGCTAAACATTTAATTAGAAATGTGTTGAATTGTTTTAAAAAAGAGAGCAAACGTAACAAACCGATTTATAAGGTGTCGGATTACATGAAACGTACAACTTTTGCTCTTGGCATGAAAAAGAACATCGTGCTAAAAATTGTGAAAAATAAACCAACAACCAATAAACAAAACCTTGTACAAAAAGGTAGGCATCCACAGTTAGATTCTTTTGACATCAGGGTCATCAGAGATGTCATTCGCCAGCTATTTGCAAAATTTACAGATTTTAACCTACAGAATAATTCTCACTAATGGGTTTTGTGGTTAATGTTGAACAACTCAGAGAAACAAACTCCGTATGATGGTTAACAGTTGGCACCCACCTTAGCCTATTCTCGACCTGTGACACCTTTTCATACCTGTCACATGCATAGCTGACCTACATTGACGAACGCTGACCTTTATGACCCAACACTGCCGCTGTTACAGGTCACTGGCTCCCTCCCTCTGCAAGCATTCTGCGTTCTGCTGTTTATTTTGTTGACAGTTACATAGACAGATTCTTTAATACAAATGCATAAAATCGGTGATTTACAATGTGATTAGGTTGTCTGACAAAACATCCACTTGCACAGTTTGAGATCGATTGGGTCATTGGATGAAGAGATATTTACAAAAAAACCGGGTCCACATGCATTTCATGCCAAACTATACCTTGTACGTTTTCATGGACCATATCGGATCGGTGGCGCGTTTTCTGCTGTCTCCCTCGTATTCGGCAGGTTGGTATAAGTATCTAACGCTGACACAGTCCGGTAACGTTTTCTCCGTTATATCGCGACGTCATGCCGCCGGTGACGATTCGACGGATCTCATTTTGATGGCTTCGACAGGCCTCTTGCCCACGAGTCTGGTGACTTCGTTGTTGATGGCATCCACCACTCGCGGCAAGTGCACGACACATTCCGTGTTTCTGTTTTCGGGATCCATCAAATCCTGCGAGTACTGATGCGAGAATAGGCGCTCGGCTAGGGTGAGATTGAATCTCTCGACGGTGAGCTCCCGCTATGCCTTGTCTCACCCGTACTTTGTGTTTGGCCAGCAGCTGCGTCACGGTTCCCATGAACTCGCGTCCGGGATCGACTTGCAATACGTCAAGCCAGGTCAAGCGACTGCGTTTGTAGATGCGTTCCAAGGCTTTGGCGACTCGTTCGATTCTTTGGTTGTCAACGTTTTGGCTTCCTTGTAGCGACTGGTGACGTAGGCGATTGTCAGGGCGTACTTGTAGGTTTTGCGTCTCACCCTGTCGTGAGGTAGAAACAGGAGGTCGGCTTGGTGGGCGTGATTCGGCGTCGAAATGCCAAATTTTCTTCTCGGGACATACCGAGGCACCGGCAGGTAGACTTGCCAGATGGCTTGTTTTTTTAGCCAGGCTTTGGCTTTCTCTTCCGAGACTCGAGCGGCTTTGGCGAGTTTCGGGATGGCATCAGCACCTTTCCAGTACCCACACAGGCTGTAGTATATTTTCTCCATCATGTATGTATTGCCTGCGTGTTACTTATTTAATACAGACGCGTGTGTCCGTATGCGTAGGTGGTGACTCCGTCGTCGGCAATCCATCGTTTCATGTCCATGCACCTTGGTTTTGGTATGTAACTCTTGTAACAAGTGGTCATACTACTATTATGTGCGCACTGTGCGTTAGGTCACATATTACGTCATCTGTTTGTGTGTACCCACCATGAGTAACAAGGGACATGTATTCAAGAACACTGGAACTCACAACGCCAGGTCGTTCTTCTTAGTCTTCATTTACTCAGGTAAATGATGCACTTTAAACAACTCTAGGCAAATGACATTTTTTAACATATATACAAAAACAAACTATTTCAACAAACTTGGACACAATTTTAGTGCACATGTAGCAGGGTGTGGAGTCATCCCACAGATGACATCCTTACCTTGTCAGCTTGCTGACGGGGTTAACCTCTTCGGTCATGTGGACAAGGCGTCCGACTTTGGATAAGAAATCCCTGGTTCGAATCCCAGCACGGGACTCGGAAATTTTATGGCCGTTACATTGGCACCCAACGTGGGGCTGAGCACGTTCATATAAAATTTAAAGGTCACATGCAACGTAAAACACAACTTTGCAGATTCTGATACCTTTCGGTATGGACTTACCGAAACAAATCGTCAAAAATGCAAATTCAACTTATAAAGTTGAAAAATAACGCGATGAAAAAACCCGCAATAAATCGGAGTTTCAAACGATTCACTAACTTTCCCCAAGCGCTTGGGGGAATTGAAGTGGTTTCAACAGCTGGGCTGCGCTCATAGCACATGCGCAGTGAAATAGGTTCGCGGAGGTTGGAAGTGGGTTGTCCCGTGAATATTCGGTGAAGGCTTTGGTGTGAGCTATTTTTCTAATGTTTTGTTGATATTTCACAGGCGCGAGCTTTTTATATCTTATTACAGTAGATTACCGATTTAACTGTTTATATAATTTCATTGGTCTATTTCACCACACGCTCTTCTTAACGAGTCACTTTCTCAGTTCGATACTTAAAAGCAATGTCCTTATTTAGCGTCGACAGAATTTTTTAACTGTGATATAGATATGTCGTTGTTACAGACAAAACTCAAAGTGAGTTTTATTGGCACCTATGTGTCTGCCTGCCCGTCTTCTAATGACAATATTCAATACACAATTTCAATCACTGACCACATGCAATTTGAACTTAACACCTATCAGGCTATACACCATAAACAAAACGCATTGATTTATGGCCCGAGTTCGGTCTCTGTCACATTATGTAATTACACAGACAGCCAGGTGTGATACTTGTACACATGACATGTTATGATGTCTGTTGATTGTAAAATGTTATACACAAAAAATGAGCATGTATTTACAAAACCCAACATCTCTATATATACACACAATGAGCCGTGAGAGAACCTGCAAATGAACCATCCGTTACACTTGAGTGCACACCCACCCGCTCTGACTAGGTTCGGTATCCCGGCTGCTTCGTTTCTTGGGAAGTAAACCCAAGTACAAAATATTGCACTTTTGATTTGCGATTGTACGCTTATAATTTTGTTTTTATGTTTTTTCATAACCAGCAATGTATATTATATGTCATGAATAAGTGATAATTGTGTTTTAATTATGTTTGATTTTTTGGTTGCATGTGACCTTTAAGCAAAATAAGTCTCAGTACCCAACTATGCAACTCATGATGTGCCTTCTGTTGACGGGGTGTATGTAGCAGGGCGTGGAGTCATCCCACAGATGACATCCTTACCTAATCAGCTTGCTGACGGGGTTAACCTCTCTGGTCATGTGGACAAGGCGTCCGACTTTGGATAAGAAGGCCTGTGGTTCGAATCCCAGCACGGGACTTGGAAATTTTATGGCCGCTACACACAGATCTTGGAATACCTACATCGTTCATTTCAGCAATGTCATTTCATTGTTTCTCTTGGCAAACACAAAAAAGTTTAAATGGTATATTTTGCCATGGCATAATTTTAAACAGCACAACGACTAGGTTTCAATGTAGTTCAAGCTAGCTGTGTTCCATACAGACTTGTTGGAGAGTACCTTCATTACATATTCCAATTCAGTACACTGTAGTCATATCTACAGGTTACACAGTTCTACACTGAAAATACAGCATGTCTATCTTCTAATAGCATACTTAGGTTATTGGTTGTAAGCAGTTATGAGTATCAAAGTGCCCTTTGTCTTATATACGCATACTTACTTTGATGTTTGCAGTGAGTGCCTTGCCTTCTTCATCTTTGTTCATAAGCTTCATACCTCGCAATGCATCCATAGCCTTGACAAAACTAATGTACTCCTTGAATTGAACATAAGCATCAAACGTGAGATCTTGACCATAACAAAATGTCTGTATAGACCCTGGTTTTGTGGCAGCAATAATTTCCTTCCTGTATGGGTCTAACATGGGAATATCCACACATCGAACCTCTCCAAACACTTCAAACACCCTCCTAAGCACCTGCTCACTTGGCTTGTCCTTCTTTGAATCCTTTCTTGAAGCAAACCATCTTGTTGGCAATTCTTTGAAGTGAATGGTATCCGGTCTTTCCCCACTTTTCATCTCATTCATATTTTTGGCATCACGGAAATATGAATCCCAATCATGTCTTAGAGGAAAACTTATCTTTGCTTCTGCAGCTCTTACTTTTAAGCTATCAGGAAATCCACTTAGCTTGATCGCTTTCCCATCAAGTTTTGCGATCAACAATTTTATTTTCCCTTTGTTTTCGATTTCACCCTCTAACCGAATGAACTCCAAAGAACTTTTCACAATTTTTAATGTGATAAATATTTCTGGTCTGATCATATGTTTTACCTTTTCCATAACCTCCCAGTTAGATATACTCTTCCCAGGTGTCTTTAACTGTGGAAGTTGGACACAGACATTAAGTTTAGCTATAGGCTTGAGATAAAGCTTCATCGGTTCATGAAGTTCCACTGCCTCCGAAGTGTCATTACAAACTGTCGTGTTTGACATTTTCTTCGTTTTGGCACATGCACAGTCACAAGTCACAAATGGTCAAACAAAACATTGGCTTTTCTTTCGCTACAGACAATCCAGTGTTTTATACAAAGCGCTCTTGACTTATACACAGCACGTAGGACGTTACTGCAGTTTTACATTTAGAAATTCACTACCGTGACTTTTATTCAGCTTACTGAAAACCATTCATTGTTTGAGAAGAACATATCCCTTGAGGTATAAGCTGCGCCTGTCTAAAACGACCCTGTTCCAAAACCGCCCAACATTTCATACTCGAAAATGATTCTTACAATTACTGGAATAAAACGGCCCCATAAAAAAAAATAAATAGTGAATATGAAAGAAACTCTGTATTTTTTATTTACTACATTACTCAGACATTTATAACATGATCATGTAAACAACGTCCTACATTCAAATAAGTCGTCATTAATATATGCAGCAAGCAGCTTCAAGGGAACTCCTCCATTATGACCAAGGAATCAGGCTAAAACAGCAATACATCAAAACGGCACCAATAGACTGGCTTAAACCTGACCAAAGAGTAATATACTAAAACTTGATTACAGAACATGAAAACGAAACATGCCTTTCCCGGTAAATAACCTCCATCGTTCACAGATGTCCAACTGTACCCAAAGAAGTGAGTTCAAATCAAATTTATATTCAACAATATTATATATGATAACTACGACTTCACACCTAGCAGAAGAGTCTTTCGACTACAGTCAGTTCATCAACAGTAATTATGGTAAAGTGGAGAGATTCCCATAATCAAACTTGAAATAAAGCCGAATAATTTAAAATGCCCCATTCGAGAGTAGGAGAAACACTTTTTGACCAAAACTAAAATAGGTGAGAAGCTTTCTACAGCGTTCTCTCTTCTGTGTTATAATCTCCACAAGGTTTTAGGACAAAAAAGATGATTTTAACTTCCCCAAAGTCAGCTTTCCTTTCATATTCCAACAGACCCAGCCTTTGGTGTTTACATTTCACAACTTTGGAGATACAATCGAACATGTTCTTCTCACCAAGTTTTCAAGGAGCGTCTACTACCACTCTTGCTCAGAAGTTTTGTTTTTTTATCATCTTTTTATTCATTTCAGAAGTTACAAAAATGATGCCCGATGCAATTCCTTATTTTGACGTATACCATCCGTTCCCGAATTATTTCAGGCGAACAACTGTCTAGACTTTGCATATGTTTATGACGGGTGCCACCGGTGGGGAAGGATACGCTCACCTTTTCACCTGTTAATAGTGATTCATAAACACATGATCTGTCATTGTCGCATGGTGACAATCACTTGATTGTCTGGTCCAGACTCGGTTTGTTTGCAAACAACATCACACAGCTGTAATGCTGCTGAAACAAATACATGCTCATGATATAGTCACAACTGAACGACCTACTCTGCTTTTAGCAGAGATTTCTTATGAATGTGGAATGGGTTTTAACGCTTCTATTTACTAATAGGAACAAAAGAGAAGTGAGCAGGTGCTTGGGAGGGTGTTTGAAGTGTTTGGAGAGGTTCGATGTGTGGATATTCCCATTTAGGCCCATACATAAAGGAAATTATTGCTGCCACAAAACCAGGGTCTATGCAGACATTAGCTTCCCTTTGGGAAACAGATTTGTAGAAAAAAGCTGGTGACTAACTTATCAGACGTGTTCTTATCTTATCATGAGCAGCCAGGACAAATGTGAGACGATTCATGGACGACTCTAAAAGAGTCAAGGCAGATCTTCTATAATTCTCCAAATGAAAGTACAAATGCTAAATCAGTCTCTTGCTAAGTAAACGAGATAAGGTTAGCGTGAACCTACAAACATTCCCAAGTTAGCCAATGCCAAGTCAGTCGGAGAAAAGGCCAACATTCTAGTACTTCTCATCTCGTCTGCAACAACAAAATTGCAGCAAGGAATTCACACAGGAAGAACAAAACTGTGTACGACTATGATATCAAAACAGCAGCAAAAACCCATCTGGTATAAAATATACCATTCACAGTGACAGAGGTTGATGATGCAGTACAACAGACGAAAGGCACTGCACTTCCTTTTGGCACAGTTACGAGACATTGGAAAACCTGCTTGATCAAACCAAGAACTCACTCACCGAAGGACAATTAAAAATGCACGGGTGCATGCTGCAGTTATTCCATTCCAAAGCAAGGAAAACGCATGTCGACTTTCAAACTTCAAACGTGTGCAAAGCCATGAAAGTCATGTTGACAAAAGGACTCGAGATTATGCGTCGCCTTGAAACAAGAAACCACATCAAACTTGGTCAATAGGCCAGTCAAATTAGCAAAAAGGTCGGAAAAAATGATGAAGAAATGAAACTTGGCAGATATGTTCTACAAACCTTCCTACATAACATACTAAAAGTCCCCTAAAATCCCACTTGAGCTAAATCCATAGTGCACGTGCAAACATGGCTACACTATGCTACCTTTTGCTAACCTAGAAGACCAAATGTGCTTGATAAAATAGTCACAACTTCTTTATTTCTGTACATAAGCACATAAATGTTTGACAACTGAGTGAATATATCTCAAGATTGTTGACTATTATTTCAGAAAAAAATCATTTCACATTTCGGAGTTGTGGCCCTTTTTTGGTGCTAAAACTAGAATTTTTATATGTTTTTACCCTTGGGTGACACAAAGACCTATAGGTATAATGATAAGGCTTAGGTATGTCCCAAAGACCTTGAAGTGTATTGTTCAATGTCTTTTTCACCACAAACCACCAAATATAACTTAATAAAAACATATTTATACATTTTGACTGAAACTGAAAATTTGCATTTTTTTGGCATTTTAGAAGTCAATGAAAACTCAATAAATGGCCCAACAATTGCAATAATTTGATATTTTACACCCAAAAATCAAGCAAGTGAAATTTTATGATTTCATAAAAACACATTTTAGTAGCCATTCCCATGCTTTAAAAGAGTTATCGCGCTTGGATACTCACAATTTCAAGAAAATATCATAATTCAACCTGACGGTACATAAAAATAATTGATATTCTGCAGAATACCAAGACCATCAAACACTATTTACAGATTATGTAACAGGGCATCTTCAAATACGTATGATTAAAGATCTAAAAAGATCATATTCTTTTCCTTGTCAGTCTGGAGGAAGTTGAAGGCTGTGGCTCATCTTTAACTTCACTCTCATAAGCGTCGCTGGAAGACAATTCATCAGATGGTAGTTCCTGATCTTCTTCATCCCCCTTTGCAAGGTATACTGTGTTTGAATTGCTGCAACTACCGTGACAATATCCACATAGACGCGAACATTTCAATCCTGCCTTTCTGCACCCACACATACGCTCAACCCTGTTTTACAATTGCATTTGGTCATGTTGATCAATGTCTCTGGTACTGGGGGTCACGGGTTGTTACTGGCTTGAGCTGGCCACAAACAGTTTCCCATCCCCATTCATTTAGTGGAAGACTTCTTCCAAGCCATTGCTGCATTTACATATGGCAGAGTGATAATTCGCGTGGGTGCCATAACATTTACATATGGCAGAGTGATAATTATATACTCCTCACAAAAAAACATTAAGCAACAAGTGTATTTTTTGGTCAGTACATATGCCTTTACTCATGATCATTACAACTGAATCAAACATAACAAAGATAAAGCATATCCACACACTTTTCCAACAAAGAAATCAAAATTCATTGAACAATAACTGACTTGCAAATCATCAAAAACAGTGTCACTGAAAAAGCCGTGCAAAATGTGTTGCATCAGGGTATGAAAATGTCTGAAAACACTTTACTGTCAGTTTTGAGCACTGATCCAAAGTTTAATAACGTGTATGGCCACCATTGACCTGAATACACGCTTCAAGACGTCTAGGCATTGACCAGATGAGTCTGTCTAGAGTCTGTTGTGGAATGTTCTGCCATTCTCTCCGCAATGCCTGTTCAAGCTGATCCAGAGTCTGAGGACGAACGTGGAGGCCGTACACACGCCTTCCGAGGATGTCCTAAGCATGTTCAATAGGATTCAGGTCAGGAGACCTTGCAGGCCAGTCCATATGGGTGATGTTGTTGGTCTGAAGAACATCAGTGACAACTCTTGCTCGATGTGGACGGGCATTGTCATCCATGAAGATGAAGTTAGGACCTGCTTGCTGAGCCCACGGAATGATCACAGGTGTGACAATTTCGTCTCGGTACCTCACACCTGTCATGGTACCTCGTCTGATGACCACAAGATCAGTTCGTCGTCCAACTTGGATTCCTGCCCAGATCATCAAACTCCCACCTCCATACTGATCATGTTCAGCAATCGTACAGTTGGCGTATCGTTCGTTACGGTTTCTCCACACACGAGCCCTACCATCATTGAAGTCCAGACAGAATCTTGACTCATCTGTGAAGAGAACATTACGCCAGCGATTGACTCTCCAGTTACGTCGTTGGTTAGCCCAATTCAGTCTCTGTTGACGATGGTGTGCAGGCAGTGGGATACGTTGCACTGGTCTTCGGGACCTGAGACCTTCAGCATGGAGTCTGTTCCTCACTGTCTGTGTGGAGATTCTGTTCCCAGCAACTCTCTGGAGGTCATTCTGGAGAGATCTGGCTGTGGTGAACCTGTTCCGCCGGGCTAGGGTGGCCAAGTATCGGTCCTCTCTGGGAGTTGTCACCCTTGGACGACCTGAGCGTGGTCTCTCAGTCATCAATCCGGTCTGTTGGTGACGAGTGATCGCTCTGGAGATGACGCTTCGATGAACATTGAAATGGTTGGCAACAGCACTCTGGGTCTGACCCCCCTGCACCATTCCAACAATTTGAGCAACTTCAATTGGTGTCAAGTGACGCCTAGCCATTTCTCAAATGTTACTGTCAACAATTTGTCGTTGCTGGCAGTTTTAACGCAATCAGAACGCATGTGCGACGTGTATAGCATTACGTTTTCCATGCATTTTGCATGTGAGTTTTGAGGGTGGTTGCGTTCAGGCGGTGCTAACAATGTTATCAGAAAACAATATGGGAAATGCTTTAAGTTCATCAATCGTAAAGGGTTCTCCTGCATGGCTTATATGCCAAGTAATAACTTCATATACCCATGAAGAAAATATGTGGAAAAAATACTTGTTGCTTAACTTTTGTGAGGAGTATTATGGCAGATTCATAATTCTAGTAAATGCCATAACATTTACATATGGCAGAGTGACAATTATAGTTAATGCCATGACATTTACGGATGGCAGAGTGATAAT